TTTCCTGTGACTTCTGGGCTCTTATCCCCACTCCATTAGATAGTTTAAACTCAGCTGAGCCCTCAGGAGACACTAAGCCACCTGCTACCTTTCTACATATACAAATGGTCAACCTGCAGGTTCTCTAGGCATTAAATTCTTATGTATCTTGAATATTTCTTAACTCTCCTGCTATTCTAAATTCTATTTCTCTGCCAGACTTCACTGTTTAAGTTACACAAGAATTATGTATTTTATTATTTGCTGAGGAAATTCTCCCCTAAAAAAACCTCATAAATTTCTTGGCTTTGTTAGTTTTTTTATATGAACTGCAATTCTATTTTCAAGCTGCCAAAAAAAAAAAAAAAAAAATCCATCGACTGGACAGTTGTGTCACTATTAGCCTTCTTTGCATGCATAGGTCTTCTCATTTCTATCTATTATCACTTTGCCTGGTCAAATTTCGGTATTGTTTGTTATTTCTAGGAATTTTATGGGTTTTGTTGGGATCTATTTCCTGTTTATTGCTAATGGATAAGAAAACTATTGATTTTTAATACTTGCCTCCCTATATAATTATTCAATGAGTTTTTCAGTTATTTCTCTTGGTTTCCTTGGGGGAAAGGGAGTATCTGTAAAGATTTCTGGCTTCTAAGAGTTCTTACTTCACTTTGTTTCATAATCATGCTTCCTAAAAATGAGTAGGAATGTTAAGTCAACCTGTGTTATATGCCCTAACAAAATGGAACTCTGGAAACTAGTTTTTACATCATGTTTGCTTTCTAAATCCAGTTTATGAAAGTATTTGGCTAATAGCAAACTTGTATATACTAAGAAAAAAATTTACAATGTTCACAAAGTAGCAATTGCTTTTACTCAACCACTGTAGGCCCTAGGGCAAGAACGCCTGACATAAACTACTTCTAATGCTGTCAGAATCCTGAAAATGAAATTAATTAAGTGTCCTCTCCTGTGCCCTGACTAGAAGCTCTATTAGCATATTGAACCCTCAGCTTCAGAGATGGCAGCCCAAAAGTTACCATGAGAGTTTCTAATTCTAGTTCCTGTCTACCTAGCTCCTGGTCTAGATTGATGCTGTCTCCCAGATAGTGAATGAGCCTGTGAATTAGATAAGAAAATCTGGTCTGGGTTCCTTGAAACTAACAATCAAGCTGTAACCCCAGCAACTCACAAGTTTGAGGCTAGCATGGACAAGTTAGCGAGCAAAAAAAAAAAAGCTGGGATGTACCTCAGTCAAAGAGCACCTGGGTTCAATCATTAGTACCCCCCCAACACATAAGAGTCAACATTCCCACTGTAATTTTGTTTAAGGGCCAACTGCTAAGTGAAGTACTCCTATAATAGATAATACCAAGTTTAACTGTCTTAGTTAACTAGAAATGCCTGGCATCACAGTGTTTGGATGAAAGCACAGCAACATTACTCAGAAGTTCATCATGTTCTAGGGACAGGCTATCACTTAAATTTATTTCCACAGTTGGCTTCACTTGGCACTGACAGCAGAAGATTTTCTAACAAGTTGGACAAGGAAAGGACATCCATGTAGGATTTGGGTTTTTTCCCACATGGTTGCATGGGTTTAGAAAACCTGGTTTGATTTCAGCATATTTCTTCATTGGGCTTATACAAACAAAACACTAGCAGGCCACCAGACTCTTCGATGAAAATGTATTTCACATTAAACAGAACGTTCACATCATGCACATGAGGCATCACCAGTCACAATGGTTCTGTGAGGTACAACAGATCACAACTGCATAGATTTCTAGCAAAATAAAGTTGTAAGAAAGATGGCTAGGCATTTTTTGAAAGTCAGACCATGCTATCATTTTCTGTGTGCTTGTCATAAAAGGGATTTTCCCCCTGGTATTCATCAAGATCAATAGAACTGCATTATTAGAGGCATGTATTTTATTTAGTATATATACACATACACAAACATACACAGTTTCCATAACTAATAAACTCTTAAACTGTAGCTGGCTTTAAAAGCACATGAATAAGATTGCTATTGAGATATCTTAATGTCTCCTGATTGCAAACCTCTCTCAGAATTATAAATCTTTCCAAACCTCTTATTGTACAAGTCAAAATAAAGTTTCAAAGAAGAAAAGGTCATTTTAATCTGAGTCACATTTTTCCACAAGAAATGAAATTAAGAAAACACAGCATTATATGGCATAAAATGTGTGGCGTATACATTCTAGTGTCATTTTTCCCATTCAGATTTTTTCATGTTAAAGTCTATTACAGTGATGTCCTGGGACCAATTGGAGGCCCCCTTATTTCAGAGCACTATGATTTTTATTTGTGCCTGGATTTATTATAGTTGGGCAAACACAGGAGCAAACCAAGAAAACTCCCAAAATACAATACAAAAACAATAGCAAAAACATGAAAACCAACCACCTGTACATGAGATGCATAATTTAGTTGGAAAGTCACTTATGGTTTGGAGTGACTACAGTTTGGAGATTTTAAGGTATGACATCAAAGATGTCCATGTACAAACAAATATGCATAAGACAACAGAAATTATTATGGACCATTTAATGCTTCCTTACTCAAACACACTTATTACATTAACCCCCAAAAGAGTATAATGTAGGGCAATGCAGGTGGCAAAGCTTATTAATAAAAAAGACTTCTTCATGGTACTTTCAAACAGAGAAACCCCAGAGGGGGAGAAAACTCCAGAATTTCTTTTCCTTATAAACAAAGGGAGATGTGCAGCCCAAGCTGAATACATGTTTTAACTAGAGTTTGGGTAAATGTCTAGAATATTTTACAAGAGGAGACATCTAAATGTATAATATGTGCTCCAACTCTGGGCACGAGACTGGTCATGGAATTAACTTCTGAACCAGCATCATTCAGGTTATTCAGAGGATCACTATGATAATACAGAAGGACAGGAAGTGTTTTAGCAGCAGCTGAAGCTCATAAATAGAACTGTAAAATGAAACACCGCTAAAGCCCAACAAGGCAAAAGCCTCTAGGTTTCTACCATGAGAGGCCAGGGTTTGACTACCTAGGAATACAGTTACATTCTGATCTAATAATTTGGAATCCAGAGTAAAGGGTGACAGAAGCTTCTTCAGACGACCGGCAGCTGATTTGACTACCGGGAACTTCACAGGTTTTCCAAACACCACCTGTATCAATTCAAAAACAAAGCCAGGTGAGACCAATGCAGAAACCAAGTATTTTGCACTTGATAATTAGGTTTAGGTTTTCTTTGGCTCATTCAGTATTTCTCAGCAGAAATACTGCTGCATTTTGCACAGGGCAATTTTTTTAGGTTGGTCAAATTTTCCTTATGTGAGAGTGTCCTAAAACCTGCAGATGTTTTGTGGATTTTCTGTTCTTTACTGGACAGTGAGGTAAACCAACTTAAGAAAAGCTTATTAAAGTCAAGGTTTGCTAATGACAAAAGTAGCCTCTTAATAAATACTAAGCCGTGAAACTGTCAAGGAAACAATGTTCAGGTAAATTAGTGTTTTAAGAGTCCAAGAAAGCAGCTTCTTCTCCAAACTAGGGACATAGTTTACTCTAGAAGTGATCTGTCAGTATGGGGTTGGAGCTCAGCGGTAGAGTGCTTGCCTCACAAATGTGAGGCACTGGGTTCAATGCTCAGCATCACATAAAACTAAATAAAATAAAGGTATTGTGTCTATCTACAACTAAAAAATATATACGTATAAAGAGAAATGACCTGTCAATCACCTCATCTCATGTGTCAAATGACTGCAGCTGCTTTTCCAAGAATCAAGAGGCAGGGACCCTAAAGTTCTTATCTACAGGCAAGAGCTGAGGTCAGGTGGAAATAAGCAAACAAAATACAATGACCTCAGCCATGTGGCTTCCCCAACCTGTTACCTCATTTCAGAAATAACAAGAAGTCTATGGTACACCACCCTGAACATGCCCCATCTCGTCTGATCTTGGAAGCTAAGTGGGGTAGAGCCTGATTAGTACTTGGATGGGAAAAATAAAAAGGTTGGACCAAATCATTTTAGACATCAAAGTTATGTTACAGGAGTGGAGCATCAAAGGAAATAAAGTGACAGAATGCAGAGAATATAAAAACATTTGAGCTAAAAATGGTTGCCTAACATGTTCAATCTCCAGTACCACATACACACCAAAAAAAAAAAAAAAAAGGAAAAAATAGCAGGAGGTGTGATACGAATTAAGTTGTGAAAGGATTTGGTGCTAGATCGTATTTTGTTTTCATTATTGAAAACAAATAAGTCCCAAATTTAAGTAAGTCAAATATGAAATGTGTGTATCTAAGTATATTCCTACTCAAATGAGAGGGGTTAGGGTATAATTCAGTGACCCTGGGTTCAATCTGTGGCACACACACAAACACACACACACACACAAAAAAAAAAAAAAAAAAAAAGAAAGAAAGAAAAAAAAAGAGCCTCTAGAGTGCTTTGACAAGAAAATAGGTCAAGGGTAGGGGAAAAACTTTCAGTGCACATCCTGTAGCTCTTTCCTCTTACTCCCTCAGGTATGATCTAGGAACAGATGTCTCTGTTTTGGAAGAATCCAGAAGGGGTCTAGAGAAGAGCCAAGCATTTGGCCTAACACTCATCAATATATATGAATGATGAAGGAAGAGAAGTTCATTTTACCACCTTATAATATTTTAAGAGCATTTTCTCCTTACCTCTGAAGAAGGTGCTACTTGAAACAACTGGCAATCAAACCTTCCCTTCCCACTTACTCCCCAGAACAATAGGGTCTATGAATCAGGCAAGGCATGGCACTGGAGGCTCCCACAGGAAGAAATTCCTTGAATTTCATAGCATTTTTTATATATGCTATATGGTATGGTATATACCATATTTGTGTTTGTATTTTTCAAATAAAATTAGTCATCCAGAAGGCTGAGTGATGTTTATCCTATCTTCACACACTCTAGTTGGGAAGGTAAGGATTTAGAGTATCATCAAAAGACTGTACCTTTCATTAAAGGGATGTTGTATTTGTCAACAGAAGGAGTTCAGAGTAGTTTCTTGGCCAGGACTGTTAAATCCTTCAATAAGGTTTTTGTTACAGTCATCCAGGCTGAGATTTTCACTGGATCTCTTGGGGAACGGGGGACCAGTGAAATCTAAGAGATCTTGAAGTGCTCGGGCATTACCAGTTCCATTTTGGTCCAGAGACATCCCAGGAATCATTTCACTCACTGGTGAAAATTCTGGGATGGAGATAAGTTCTTCTTTGGAAACAGGACTAGAAGAGATGAAGGAGAGACAGGGAGAGACAGATAGAGGGAGAGGAGAGAGAACATGAGAACTAAGCACACTATGTTAATGTGCTTCATTCTATTTGTAATATTTTATTACACTCTTGTAGAAAAGATAAATTTAGAGACAGTTTATGTGTAACACATCATAAAAAAATACACAAGTTCAAGTCTGAGAAGTGGGTAGGCACAGGCCTCTGTGGATGAGAACAAGGGAAGTAGACCAAACAAGATGTGCAGGCCAAGCTTATGCTGCCCAAGGAGTGAAAGAAAAAAACCTACAGGCACTGACACTTTACTACAGAGTAGCAAGGTCCTTCCAGAACTTTCAGAATAGAACAAACAGAAAGCAAATACCAAAAGTGAACTAAGGAAGGGCTCTAATTAACACTGGGGCTCCTTGTGCTGCCTTTCCAGCAGTGCTGGCCTGGGCAAGCTGCTTTTCCTTCCCTGGATTTGGTTTCCACCCCTATAAAATGGGAGGAACAGTAATCTCTCCCTCTCAGGGTTCCTGTGAATATGAATGTGACTGTGTTGGCAAGAGTTCATGAAGAACCATGTGCATCCATCTAGTCACCTGCCGAATCAATCTCACTGCTTCTTTTCTAAATCCTGACTTAATCAGTTTGCTCAGCTGAACCCCCCCACCCACCTCCTCCCTCTCTTCCTAGATATGGAAGGGGTTGCACTACTGCTGTCTGCTATAGGCCTAGCAAAGGAGCAAATCCAGGCCCAGAAGAGTGGTGGGCTGGGAATTGAGGATTTGTCCCAGGAGTCCTTTAATAGCCACAGTAAGGTTGCTGCCAGGCTCTTCTTTTCTTCCTTGATGAGATCTTACAGATGAATCAAGAAAAAACAGCTGAACTGCAGAAGCTCAGTGGAGCCACCTACCTCACACCTGAGCCCAGTTAAGGGGCAACAGCTGACCTACAACCACCCCTGGTGTTTGAAGTCTGGGAAAACTGCCTCATTAAACAGAAACATCCTGCTTCATCTTCATCTTTCCCCACCTCCATCCCCTGCATTTAAACTGGTCAGAGAAAAGAGGAGAAAATGATACCACAAGTTCGGGTGTATCCACCAAGGTCACATCACTTTCTAAGTGAGAACATAGTGTGCTTACTTTCTTGAACTCTGGTCAGAGGTGCCACATCTTGTTCCCTTCCCTCCCCCAACAAGACATTAAAGAATAAACACAGCTGGCTCAATATGTGGGTGGAATATGTTGGGTTAACCTTTCAGATTGCCTTAGTTGTTTTCTGCTGGGGACAGAGTGGCACCAACTAGGAGAAGCCGGCCATGATGGTAGTGTTGAGGGATGGGAAGACCCAGGCGAGGACTGAGGGGCCCTGCTACCATTCTACACAGGATTTTCTCTACTGATGATGTCCTGGATTTCACATATCTAGCTTGAGCCCTGTGAGGATGAGTGGAATATTGACGATTAGTGTTACAGGAACCCCACCTCCAGACTAAGCAGAGAACTTAGGACAGAAGGTAAACTGGCAGGTTGGAGCTCTGGTAGTGCTTTTACAAAATACTGTCACACTCTCCTAATACAAAGAGCCAACCCTTATTCCAACTACCCTACCAAAGGTTGTCCACTCCAATGCCTCTGCCTCAATCTCATACCAATAGATTCTTTTATCTGGGATTAATTTGCCAGATGATGATATCATTACAAAAATGATACCAGTTTATGAATTCCTTAGATTTTTAGGATCTGAAAGCAATTTAGTTCCTTTATCAAGTCTGCAATGACAAGTTTACTTGTGGAGACACATCACTCTGGACACAGGGAATCTTGTTGATCCTGGCAAGGTCCCCTTTACCTACAGGTGCATCTATCCCCCCAGACACAGAGGGCTGGCTCCTAAATGCTCAAAATTGCCACTATTCCTCTGGACAACTTCCTTTAGCTGACAGGCACCCCCATGATCATGGTTCTGTATCCCCTAGCCAAGAAACTCACAGTAAATAACTGATGGATACAGTGGTACAAATACCATATTCCTTATCTCAACTGAACAACTCTCTGGTGGAAATTCATCCTGCAGAGCTCCTATGCTACTGTCTGAGAACACATCCTTACTTATTGCCTTCCCTTCTGCCCACTCCTCCTGAGAATCCTCCCCTACTAAATCATATGCCCAGGCTCTGCTTCTAGGGAGCCTAGTTCGAGATAACAGTATTATATCATTGATAGCTTTCCTATAATGTCAACCAAATCTGATTTAGGTTATTGTATTGTATAAAAGATGGAGAAACAAACTAAAAGACAGTGGTGGTGTTTGGAAAAGAGATGAAGTTTATATGTAAAAGAAATTGACATACCTAACATCCATAGACTGAACTTCTTCAGTTGAATCATCCAGACTGTTTGATTTCCCATCAAGGGCATCCAGATGAACAAATGCCCCAACTGGTTTAAGCCCATTAGAAAAAACATCTCGTGGAAAAGTTTCTGGGGCAGCACGCCCCACAGCATTAACCTCCTGGCAGGTGTTCAATCCATTGATTTCTGATCAAGAACAAAGTCCTTTCGTGAATCATAAAATATACAAAACGAAATTACAGGAAATACATAAAAAGGTAATTAATTTAATCCTCTGCTTCACTACTGATGCAATATCTTCTGTGGAAAGAACCACCAACAGCCCCATGTAATCACCTTCACATGGGGGAAGAGATGACACACAGCATTATTGCAGGGCCTTGATAGAAGAGCAAGACCAGATCTTAATAACATATGACCAGTAGTTAGGCTCCATGGAAAGCATCCTGGGCCAGAAAGACAGTGTGCTTTCTGTGCCAGGATTAAACAAGGAAGCCAGCGGTTTTCCAAATACAGTCAATAGTCCCTGGGCTTTAGAGATGCTCCAGGAAGAAAATCTGCTGTCAGCCACAGCTCTGGGACCCACATGTGCCCCTCCTTCACAGGAAGCTTTATGGACTCCCACTATTAAAGGAAAAAACACAAGCACCAGACCTCACACTCACCTATTTTGTTGGGGACAACTGGTTTTGTCTTATTTTCCACACATAGAACAGGCTGAATCTCTGCTTTTGAGTCTTCTTTCTGAAAACAAAAAGAGAGTAGATGAAAAGAGGGAAGGCTGACATTACACAGAAAAATAAATGTTTTTTAAAACCACCAGGAGAAATCTGGAGCCCTGCTGGGCCATCTGCCTGTTCCATGATATTTCTCTGAATTTTCAGCTGCTTCCCTTATCACCATTCTTTTTGTATTCGTGCACTACTGTGACTCTCCTTGCACCCCAACCCCACCACTTTGAAAAAATCTTTTTTTTTTTTTTTGGTACCAGGGATTGAACTCAGGGCCACTCAAACACTGAGCCACATCCCCAGTCCTTTTTTGTATTTTATTTAGAGACAGGGTCTCACTGAATTGCTCAGCGCCTTGCTTTTTGCTGAAGCTGGCTCTGAACTCATGATCCTCCTGCCTCAGCCTCCTGAGCCGCTGGGATTACAGGTGTGTGTCACCGCACCGGCTGAGAAAATCTTTTAGCTGCTCCATCTCTGAAATTCCTCCTTCCTTTCAAGATCCTATTTCCTCTTTAACCTGGCCAGAAACAGAGCATGGAGAGTCCATTTTTTTTTTCCTGGATAATTTTCTCTGAGACCTACAACTTCACTGAATGTTTTCTGCAGTTCTTTCCTGCTGGTTACATAATAGTCATCTGAATTCCTACCTTCACTTCTGGAGACACATCACTCTTCCTTGTTCTCTTCATGATTTCATCTATTCTCTGTAAACAAAACAGGCGAGAGGACCATAATACCAAAAATATAAAATAGTAGTTGGGTCTAAATGCAATTTCACATTTCTGAGAAGACTGGTAAAAGACAAATGTCAGCAGAGGATAAAAAGCATGGAAAGGTTTTCCATTGTTTTTGTAGATGGGTTTCTCTGGCTCTACAAACAAGGTCAAATGAAGCAGACTAGTACATATCCAGGATCAATAATCTATATCTTATCTTTCTCCTTTCTCTCCTTTGGTTCCCTATAAATAAAAAAAAAATCACCATCTGCCATTCTAGAGGATCACCCTCCAGAAAATGAAGCTGAGGTTAGTTCAGGAGAGATGTCCATAGATTCCCAGCTCCTAGATGTAGATATAGCATTACAAAGCCCAGGTTGGGCCTAGGATATCATGAGATTGGAACTTTATAATCAGCCTCCTTAAACCCAATTTTATCTATAAATACATTAAGTGTAAATGGACTAATCACTCCAATTAAAAGGCAAAAAATGTCTTTAATACCCTGTATTAAAATAGTAAGTCCTGACTATGTGCTGTTCATAAGAGAGATTCTTGTAAGGACACACATAGGTTCAAAGTAAAAAAAAAAAATGGCAAAGATTTACCATGCAGGTACCAATCATAATAGGGCTGCCAAAACAGACTTTAAGAAGAAATAATACTAGAATTAAGAAGGGCATTTCATGGTAAAGGGATCAATTCAACAGGAAAATTTAACAATCTAATGTGAATATTCAACTAATAAATAGGGTTTCAAAACATATAAAACAAAATTGACAGAACTGAAAGGAGAAGTAAATAAATTCATAATCACAGATGGAGATTTTTAGATGACAGAAAACTAATAAAGTTATAGAAGATTTGAACAGCACTACCAAGGAAACTTGACCTAATTGACAATTTTAAGAACACTGCACCCAGTCATTGCAGAACAGAGCTGGATTAACTTCCCGTTCCTGTCTCATCCTAAGTCCTCCTGATCCCCAAGCCTTACCTTCTTCCTCTCCAGTCTCTCCTGCTCAATCTGCAGCATGATTTGTTCTCTTTCTAGACGCATCTGTTTAGCTGCCTCCTGGGCCTTTGCTTCTGCTGCTTCTTTCTGAGAGCAACAGGTAAGCCAAAGCACAGGCTTTATTAAACTAAGAAAGCATTGTACAAATTCCTGGGCTTTGTGTAAGTCCTTTACCCCATTATCTGCCCCAAAGTGGATGAGGCACCAATATTCAATGTAAATTCACACAACCTGCTCTATGATAGAGGAGATACTGTTGGGACCCATTCATATACCCTTATCCCACCATGAAAATCACCTGCAAGCTAGTTTTCATACATGGCCCAGGTCTTTCTATCCGTGGGTAAGCTCTGGCCATGAAATGTGTATATAGCCAGAAATTTCCAGGAGTTATTCCTAAGGAGAAACCTTCCACAAAAAGGGGCAGTATTAGTAAATAAATTGTCCAGTTTCCTCATCCCCTGGACAATTCTAATGCATGATCCCAGTCTCTCAGAGGGTCCCAAAAGCACTAAGTTCCAGGGGCCCATAGTAACCCACTCATGGATGTTCTCGTATATTGGCGTTCCACTTTTTTCCCTAGCAGCTTCATGGGATCCCCTCCCAAATAAACTACTGGCCCCCAAATTTTATCCTTGGGTCTGCCTTTGTGAAAATACAAACTCACAGATGGCAAATATTACCAACTTCAATTGTATTTAATAACTAGCCCAGATGATTTAAGAAAAAACTTCAAGTAACTATTATGAGTAATTCAAATTTAATAAAATTTACCTAATATTAAGTAAGGCCCTTTAAAAAAAAAGGAAAATCTGAGGATGACTGTACCTGCTTTTCAATCATGGCTTTTTCTTGTTTTTCTTTTTCTTGCTTTTCTTTCAGCAACAGCTCCTCCTCTGCCTTCTGCTTAGCCTCCTCTCCTGCCTTTCTTCTTTCTTCCTCTTTCTGCCATTTCTTTTTCTCCTCTTGCTTACGGGCTTCTTCTTCTAGGCACAGCCTTTCCTCCTCTGCTTTTCTTTTCAGTTCTTCTCTCTCTAGCCTTTTGAGGACATAATCATCATTAGGAGAGGAAAACATGCTCAAAAGGCAAACTGCCAGGGAACTGTGTCCTGACAGTAGTGGGGAATGCTCAACACATTAATGAATACATGCATTTGAATTCATATACACTTAATAAAATGCCTCATCTTTCCCAGAAATCTATTTCAGTTCATATGCTTACCAAAAACTATTAACCAGGCTTGACTTTAAACTCTTTACTACAAAGAGTAACACATATTGACTTGTGAAGACACAAAGGTTCCCTCATTGTTCTATAAATGAAGACAAAGGAGACCAAGCCTGATCATTTTATTCAATGACAATTTTTTTAATTAAGCAGAATAAATATTTAAAAAGCAAATAAAGAGAGAAAATAGGAAGTGATGTAATGGCTACAAATATGCCAGTCAGCAATTTAAGAGCAGTGACCATGAGCTCAAAAGTTCATTTGGGGGTTTAACTGGTATGTGACTTCTGAAGCAGCCAATGAAAGAAAATGCTCAACAGAACTTCAACATTTAATGTAGAAATTAAAGCATCTGTTTTTCCATTTGACTTGGCAATCTTTAAAAAATCTATTTTAGCTTTTAATTTGTGCTATATGAAAATTAAGTGGCATTTAGACATTGTCATCCACAAATGAATGGTTCATGATATAATGACAAAGAGCTCTAAGCAGTGAGGAAATATTCTATAAAGTCTAAATGCTGGTTTTTACATTTCAAATGTTCCGGCTCACAAGTGCATCACTGTTAGGCACTGGATAATCACTGTTAATGTAAACACCTGGTCAAGACTCAAGCTGAATGCTGACTGTGCCACTTGGTGCAAGACACTTGCAAAGTCACTCAACATTTCTGATGCCCATTTTAAAAATGGAAATAGCTATACCACTGCTTGATGGAGTTACTGTGAGGATTCAATAATGCATGGGGATGCCTGGCCCTGGAACATTCAAAAATGGTGGTTTGTTTTACAAATTAAAATGAATACTACCTTCACCTCCAATGTTATTTTTTTTAAAGAAATTTAACATTTTTCTGTTTTTATGTGGTGCTAAGAATTGAACTCAGTACCTCACCCATGCTAGGCAAGTGCTCTACCACTGAGCTACAACCCTAGCCCCCCAATGTTTTTATTATTTTTTAAAAATATTTATTTAGTTGTAGATAAACACATAGACTCTTTATTTATTTTTATGTGGTGATGAGGATCAAACCCAGTGCCTCACATATGCAAGGCAAGTGCTTTACCACTGAGCTACAGCCCCAGCCCCCCCTCCAATGTTCTTTTCATCTATAAATCTGTATGTTTTCAGAAGTTACCTTTATATAGAAGCATGAAGTGTTATGTTTCTATTTAAATTTTTTTTTTGGTACCAGGGGTGCTTAACCACTGAGCCACATCCCCAGCCCTTTTAAAAAAATATATTTAGTTGAAGGTGGACACAATAGCTTTATTTTATTTATTTATATGTGGTGCTAAGGATCGAACCCAGGGCCGCACATATGCTAAGTGAACACTCTACCGCTGAGCCACAACCCCAGCCCCCCAGCCCTTTTTTGTATTTTATTTAGAGATAGGGTCTCACTGAGTTGCTGAGGCTGGCTTTGAACTTGTGACGCTCCTGCCTCAGCCTCCTGAGCCACTGGGAAAAACCTAAAGGCATTATCCCAAGAGTATAACAGTATGAGATAATGTACTCTACACCAATAGAGGCTACAGTGCCTAGGAGTATTTGTGGAGCACCTAAAATTATGAACAAATATTCTCCAGAAGAGTATTGCAGGGCCTAATCAGAAAGAAAACTTCTGTTTTCTTAGATTCCTTCATGAAAGATAAAGTATACCCCACATAGGATTAACAAAAATGGCTGTGTTGATATCAAGATTTATCCAAAGATCAATCAGAACACTGCTTCATTTCTTATTCCTTTTTAAAAATTCAGTTGTGATTGTCTCAGAAAAGTTAAAATACAAAGGATACATAGTATATGAATCAATGCACAAGCTACTTCACAAAGAACCTGTAATCTGTGTCTTCAGAATCTGAAAATCCACTGCTGCTTCTGTTTATATCATTAGGACTTCAAGGTGCCCAGATGCACATACATGTAGTAACATTCTTGTGGCTCCTTATTTTCCATAATTGCCTAGGAATTTTATGAATTCCTCCCCAGAGGCCCATAACACCCTGTTTGTCCTTTTCATCATGCCTTCATGGAAATCCCATCCTTTTAGACAAAATTTCCTCCATTAACCACACTTTGCTTTCTCCAAAGTAGGTAAAAACTAGTATGCATGGGTGCATGCACACACACACTCCAAAAAACTGGTTTCCACTGTGTAAAACAGGGTCCTTTGCAATCCTCTCCAAGTATGAACATTCTCTCCCTGCTTAAGGAACCAGAGAGAGCATTATTTCATTCTTTCCCCCCACCAGCCCTCTGCTGTAGGTCACCTGTAGCCCACCACCTTTGCCATCATTATCAAGTTCCCTCCATAGTATACCAGGCCTGAGGGCAGTTCTATCATTCTTTCCATCTTTGTTGTTGTCATCCCTCCAAGTCCCATCCCTCCACCTTACTGACTTAGAAAATACCAGAAAACTGCACATCACTGTCATCATTTGTTATTTAATTGATGTATTCCTTGTCCCTGTCCATTGGTGAGGGTCTTCATGTAATGGCTCCTGTCACGAAACCTCTAGTACCTCACCCCCTTCTATCTCATCCTGCTCACATCACTGACATATGGTCAACCTTGAATTGTTTAATCTTGTGGATGAGTATGTGGGCTCACCATTTTCATTCCTATGTGCTTAAAAGTTTTCATTAGAAAAAGGTTAACCTTCCATGTCTTTCTCTGCTGATCTGCCTGGTAAAGCCTGTACAGTTGATTTGCATCTACTTCCCTTTTTTCTCACTGCCCTCCAGGACTCTGATCCCCTGCTGAGCTTTTCTGTGATGGCATGAAGGTTACTCTGTTGTCCAATGCTGGGCCTGGATGGCCCCCAGGACCACTCATGCCCCTGCTGGGCATGAGATCAGCACCAGTTAGAGAATGGAATAAATAAGGGTGACTGGTCATGTGCCCCTTAGCCTTGGCTGTGCCATTTTTTTTATCCTTATCCCTTGGTCCCACATGGACAGTCCAAATTACGACCTTTTCTTAGCTTTTGTCAACCTCCTTAGTTGATGGCAGCACTAACCACTTTATAGAGAAGACCTGATCTGAGCTGCTGCTGCTGCTTTTTTCTTTTTTTTTTTTGTACTGGGGATTAAACCCAGGGGTGCTAAACTACTGAGTCACATCCCCAGCCCTTTTTATTTTTTTATTTTGAGACAGGGTCTTGCTAAGTTGCTTAGGGCCTAAGTTGTTGAGGCTGGCTTTGAACTTGCAATCCTCCTGCCTCAGTCTCCTAAATTGCTGATATTATTACAGGCATGCATGCACTACCACACCCAGCTAATCTGAGCTTCTTAAACTGTGCTCCTTTATGGAATTACAGCTGAGAAATTTCACCCTTTCTTTCCCTAAATGCAAAAGGATTGTAAATGCTACCATTTGTGCTATGAATTCCAGGCTGTTTCTCCAGCTAGTCTTTCTTCCTTCCAATGCCAGTTTTCCTCTTTGAGATGTACCTTTCCATGGCTGGCAAAAATATTCAGGTCTCAGGCATCCCAAGGCACCCTTGGTCCTCTCCTGCCAGCCTTCCACTCATGACTGTGGAACGGCCAGCTCACACTCAGGCTCCACCCTCTCACCTCTTTCAGGGCACTTCATTTTTCCACCCCTCTTCTCAATAATTTCCCTCCAAAATTCTCTGCTTATCTCCTAACCCAAGATCAACAGTCTTTCCTCAGCTTTGACATGTCTTAAAGGTGGTAACAACATTAGACCTCCCTCCTACAAGGTCCTCTCTATAACCTTGTGCCATATGAGGTTGTATTGTCCTGGCTTCCTCCTGCTTCAGTTGCCCAACAATGCCCAACATCAGAAGACCCCCACCTACCCTACCTTGCACCAAAAACCACCTGTTACCTGGAGGCTCAGACAGTGAGAAGTAGCTCTGATGAGCCCTGGGGACCCCTCTGCCTGCAGTTTCAGGTCTGGGGCTCTCACCTGGACATCAATCATATGACCTTGCTCACAGGGACTGCTTTTCTCAAATATTCTTTGATGTTATTTTTTAGCTTCTTCTTTTATTTTTTTGAGGGTAGAATCCAGGGTCTTGTACATGCTAGGCAAGTGCTCTACCACTGAGCTACATACCTGACCTCTATTTCAGCTTCTTAATGTGACTTCCTGTGATCCAGTTTGTAATCCCAGTAAGAACTCTTACTTGCTAGTTTCTACCAGTGTCTTCTCTAGAGTGGAACCAAGGTCTAAGGTTGTCTGCCCCAACTCTAGGAATCCCACTGTATACCTTGGGCCTGTTTTACGTGTTTCTAAGAGAGCTCTGATGTCACTGCTGGTTGGGACTGGACCAACTTTTGTTCTTTTGGGCCTAATTATCTGGACTCCTGGTTGGCCTTTCTATTAAGGGGAGTTTCCCACATCCCTGACTTGGAAAGTGTATCCCTCACCAGCTGGTGACAATAATTTGGCTTTCCACAGTTTGACTAAAGTATCTTTATTTTTCACTATATTCTCTCAAATGGCAACCACATTTCTGTGATTTTACTATTGACTCTAAACAACATAAAACAGACGTGAGGATGATCCTATTCCAAGAGGTGTCCAATGTGTTCCAGCCCCAGGCTGTCTGGTACTTTCCTTTCTCACCTCGCACATAGTACTATGCAAAGCTTCACATTCTGGCATGAGAGAGGAAAACTGATTTTGGGTCAAGTGTATTAGTCTCATTTTTATCTAGGCTCCAGGTTTCAATTCCATTTCCAATTACCTAGGGATTCTGCAGACACCTTAAACTTAGTAAACTACCTAAAATAAAATGAATAATTTTTAATTCTTTAAAACTAATTCTTCCTGCCCTTGTTATCTATTATTGGGTATACCATTCTTCCAAGTCCTTTGAATCAAACCTTAGCATCAACTTTGAATCAGCCCACTTCTTCTGAGTTGTCTACTTGACCTACTACTGCAATGGTTTCTTAGTCTTTTCCTCCTTCTCTTCCTTTCTCATACATTTACTAAGTATCAGGCACCAGCCATCCAAAGACTGCACCTCAGCTTTTTATGGTGCTAACTGGGAAGAAAGTGGCCTAAAAATACATGAAGCTGTTTGTCAGCTGACTACTGGGCTCAGGAAAGGTGAAGAATGGGGGAGGGGTAGTTCTTTTCCCAGGGAAGAGCCAGACAGGCTATAGAGGAGTGAGCTTGAACCACAGCTTGAGAAGGAAACACGTCTGGCAAGAAGCAGCACAAGCCCATGGGGGCAACAACAAGGTTTGGAGGTGTGGAGCTGTGTGGTGGGGGAATGTCAAAGGGGGTTGCAGGTTGAAGCCTGGAGAGAAAGAATATAGAGAAGCAGGGAGTGGCCAGTTAATGGCAGTCCTTTAAGGACTGTTGATGGGTTTGGGTGGATTCTGTGGGCAGGATCCTTGTTGAAGGACAGGATCAGAGATCAGAACAATCACACTTCTTTAAATGAGAAAGGTCACTGTGGACAGTGTAGATGGACAGTAGACGAGCCCTGAGAGACCTGGAGCAAGGTGCTCAGATAGTATGCCCAGACACTATCTAGGTAAGACAAAGCGAGCAAGAAGGGAAGAGATATAACAGAGGTACTAATGCAACAGCCAATAAAGATTGATCTGACAAATGATGGGATGTGGAGGAGCATGAAAAGGGAAGAACTGAGAGTGGCTCTGAAACTTCAGACTTGAGTACAATGATAGATGGGGGTGCAGGGCTCATGAAAGAAAAAGGAAGTTTGGGTGAAAGATACTCATTTCTTTTTTTAAATATTTTTTTTAGTTGTAGTTGGACACATATCTTTATTTTATTTACTTATTTATATGTGGTGCTGAGGATCCAACCCAGGGCCCTGCACGTGCTAGGTGAGCGCTCTACTGCTGAGCCACAACCCCAGCCTGAAAGATACTAATTTCTATTTTGAGAATGATGAATTTGGGGATGTACATGGGACACAATCAAATGAAAACATAAAGTAGTTGGAAATACAATCTCTGGGTTCTAGATAAGTGCTATTCAATAAAACTTTCTGTGATGAAGAAAACACTCTGTAGAACTGTGCTGTCTATTATGATAGCCACTAGCCGCATGTAGCTACTGAGCACTGAAATGTAGTAATGTGGGTAAGGAACCGGATTTTCCTTAAGTGACATTTCAGTAGTCACATATGCCCAGAGGCTATGGTAGTAGGCAGTGCAATCCTAGAAAGATCCCAGGCCACAAGCACTGATTCAGGTCTTCAGTATGTACATGTTATCTAGTTGCCCCTCTTGTTCCACAAAGTATGAAAGGTTTATGAAGAAAGCTGCAATTACCTTCAGAAATAGATAACAGAATGAGGCAAAGGGGAAATAAAGGTAGGAAGGGAGACCAGAGCACAGCTGTTTAGCACACCAACAGCTCAACATGAAACTACTGTATGAAATGTGAGCCCTAAATCTTTTGAAGCCAGAGGAAATTGTTAGTGTGGCAGAGACAATGGCAGAGCAGGAGTGAGCAACACTATTCAGGAAAGGCTTGTCAGGTGAGAAGCCAGTTAAAGACTGAGGGCTGGGAGCCCAAGCAATTTTTAATGGATAAGAGGTCAGATAAAGACTCAGAGGGACATCCCAGAAAAGCAAGAGTAAGCTCAATATGGTCAAAGCAAACCAAGAATTGTTTAGGAGTCTGGCAACTAGAAGGCACGTGGTCATAAGGTTTGAAGAATAAGTGTGATTTGATGAAATAAAGATAGGAAGTATAATCAATTCTTTTGGGCTATGAAGGAAATATGAGAACGAGGGTGGTAGCTGAAAGGTGAAGAACTCCTTCCTAAGCACAAGTAACAATCATGTCACTCACCTGCTCTTTGACACGATATCTCCAGGGTCTGCAATTACCAAGTCCTATCATTGGAGGTCCTACAATTCATCATCTCTTGTGACTTCCCTTCACATAACCTGTGGCCCACCCAAACCAGCCTGAACAGATCACTCAATAATAACAAAAAATCTGTCAATATTGACCAAAAAGCTTGAGTGAGAAAATAAATAAGTCCAGAATTTGAAGAAGGGATCAGCCAGACCTACCCCCTAACCTTTTAATAAAAGGTCAATGGCTAGGGATATAGTTCAGTGGTAGAACTCTTGCCTAGCAAATACAAGGTCTGGATTCGTGTCCCAGTAACACAACATAAAAATAAAAAATAGATCAGCAGACCTGTAATTAAGAGATCACAAAGACTTGGCAAAGTTACTAGGGATAAAAAATATACTATTATTTATTATTTTAAATTTAGTGCTGGCCTTAAGTGCTAGAGTACTGCTTGCTTTCTGTCATGTTCGCTCTCTCAATAGTACTGGATTGCACTCTGTGATTATTCAAAGAGTTTCCTCTATCAATTTAGTGACAAAACTGACCTTGTCCTTTATCATGTATTTCCCTCTCTGAACACAATGATCAGCAAAGGCAGGACTGTTGACTGTGACAAAGTACTATCACTATAGTGGTTCTCAAACATTGGTGTATCTCTAAAACAGAACAGGGCTTAGGCCAGTACATTTTCACTGTTACCTGAATGATTCTGATACCCTCCAAAGTTTAGGGACAACTGTAATGACATCTTTTGTCTTGCTCTAGCATAGGACTTCCCTATACCTCATTGCTCATGGTTATGAAATTAACTCCCTCTTACCCTCATTTGGGGAGCCTGTCCAAATCTCTCATTTTGGGGTATAAGTAGGATAAAATAGAGAAAACAATTTGGAAAGCAGAATCAAGATCTCTACATCCAAGACCTTCTGTCTTCCCAGGGAGAATCTCATTCTATAAACAAACCTCAAAACTCCCCTGGTAGCTCCATGAGGCCTGCCTGGTTTCCAGGTCCAAGAAGAGAAAGGGAAGCTTGCCTGTAACATTTAAAACCAGGAGCTATGAGTTTCCAAGTCCTCTGAAAAGGTCTGTTAATTACATCTAATAGAAGATTCCATCTCCTAAACACTTTCATTGCAGTCCAGGCACTCTAGGTTCCTTTACTTATGCTCAGGTTTTAGCAGTAAAAAAAAAAAAACTGTAAAAAGAATAGGCAAGCTGCTCTTTTCAGCCCAGCCTTTGCATGAGATCACACCAAAACTCTGAGCACCTGCATACCTTTCTTGTTCTTCCTTCTCCAATCGTTCTTGCTCCTCCTGTTCCTTCTGCAGCCGAGCCTGTCTTCTCTTTTCAGCTAGGATCTTTGCAGCCTCTCCTGCATCAGTGGTGCCTGCTGTAGGCTTCCCCAAGGCTATATCAAAGAAGAGATGGCAAGAGGAATAGATCAAGGGAAATGAACATAATGATTCCATTCACACAGCAGATGCCACTTGGACATGAAAAATCTAATACTGTGTGGTGATGGGAAATGCTACCAGGAGAGTGTTACAATTATCCACTAAGCAGGAGAAGGACTAGCTATGACCCTGGATACATATATTCTACAGTGGAGGACAGTGGACAGCTGAGCAGGAGAGACAGGACCATAAGCAAGTCATGAACTCATTGCAACACAGAGGCTTTAAGAACTCTCATGGAGCATGCTGATTATGGCTAGGTACAGCCTGTATTCCTTAGCACTCCTGTGGGCTTCCAGAACCAACAGCAGGGTTAGCCTCTAGGTCTCCTCCTCCAGGGGACCCTCAGGACCCTCAGTCTCCTGAGGGGCAAGACTTAGGAGCAATGGGCAAGTCTGAGAAAATGGTATGAGATGAAGTTGTCCCAGTGGGAAAAAATCCCTCTCCCGCAAACACAAGAGAATGACATATAGATCAGGACAGAGGGACAACTACCTAGGCCCAGGGGCAGTGTCAACAAAGAAGGTCTACCTGTACTGCTCTCAACCTTCCCTCCTGTGGCAGCATATTTCTCAGTGGCATGCTTGTCTTCCACATGCTTCTCCACCATGTGCTTCTCGGTGGCGTGCTTATCTACCATGTGCTTCTCAGTGGCCTGTTTGTCTGCCATATGCTTCTCGGTGGCATGCTTCTCTGCCACATGCTTCTCGGTGGCATGTTTGTCTGTCACATACTTCTCTGGAGTTTCCTCTCCAAGATGGCCAGCAGCCTGCTGACTTGAGGCACCTTCCTTTTCCTTGTTGCTCTTCTCTTTCTCTGCTTTCTTCTTGGGTGTTTCTTGGTTGGGAATGGGGGGAAAGCGGTATTTCACAGGAGACCCTGGGTATGATGGCTTCACTGTCTTTGGAGACTGTGGATACACTTTTGAAGTTGTCCTGGAAAACCAAAAGCAAGCCATAAGATGATTTACAGGGCCTGACCACAGAACTCGGTTCCTAATATAGTCAATTCCACAAAGTTGAATAATTCCATTTTTCTAGAGGAACAAATGTAGGGCTTTAGCACACACTCAAAAGTATCTATAGTATTTTCCCCTTACAGAAATATATGGTATTTATACCACGGCCCTGGTGAAATGGAAATATTTCCCCTTTTTATTGGTGAGAAGGGAAATATTTTAAGGAACCCAGTTGATATCTTAATCTCACTTATGTCTGATGACAATGTAGGGATGGTGATATAGTTTGGATACCATTTATCTCCCAAAGGTTCATTTGCAAGAAGACTGGTCCTGATATAACTGTACTGAGAGGTCGTGGTAATTTAAAAGGTGGGGCTTAGTGGGAGGTAGTTAGGTCACGGAGGCTCTGCCTTCAAAAATGGATTAATGTCTTTCTTAAGAAACTGAGTTAGTTCTCTTAATGAATTGTTTCTTTGCAGTGTGTTATATCTCTCAGAACTGGATTATTTACCATGAGAATGGGTGGGCTGTTAAAAAGTGGGTTAGCCTCCACTCTGTCTCACTGATACACATGGTCTTCCACATGTGCCCATTTCCTTTGTACTTTTCTGCCATGAGATGATAAAGCATGAGGGCCTTATCAGAAGACTAGCAGATGCTGGTACCATGATCTTGAACTTCCCTGACTCCAAAACTGTGAGCCTAAACAAACCTCTTTTCTTATCACAACAGAAAACTGACTTAAATAGATGGATTGATAGGCATTTTCTCATTCCTTTTTTCAGATGAACACCACAGTTGGATCTGGCTTTGGCATATAACAATGAACAAGATGGCTCCATTTTTAATATTTATTTATTTTTTAGTTGTAGTTGGACACAACACCTTTATTTCACTTGTTTATTTTTGTATGTGGTGCTGAGGATCGAACCCAGGGTCTCGCACATGCGAGGTAAGCGTTCTACCGCTGAGCCACAACCCCAGCCCCAAGATGGCTCCATTTTTAAAATCACGACAAAATATATAATAACATAAAATTAACCATCTCAACTGTTTTTAAGTATATAGTTAAGTGCATTCACATGTTGTACAACCATCACCCCAAACACTTCCATTAAATGATTCCACATTCTCCTCCCCCAGTCCCTGGCAACCACCATTTTACTTTCTGTCTTTATGAAATTGCCTATTCCAGCTCTGGCCACTTGTCCACACAGGTCCTCTGGGTGCCTGAGTAGGACCACTGGCATTAGCACCCGTACAGAACTCCTGGCCGCCAACCCATGCAGGAATCCTGGCTGCTGTCCAACACAGGAACTCAGGCTGCCACTCCCATGTGTACCCCCATCTACCAACGTGGGGCTCCTCTGGTTGCTTCCATCATGGGGCACTGCAACTACTGCCACAGTCCCCTACACACAGTAGCCTGCACCTGGGACACTGCACTGGGTCTGGAGACAGCTGCCAGCTACAATAATGCATGCCACAGAGCTGCACACCATGCCCGCCCGGCCTCACCTGACCCCCAGACACTCCATTGCTGAAAGCAGCTGCGTCCATCTTGGGACACCTTCGTCGCCATCTTTAGTTGGGGCAGCTCCCAGCTTAGAGCACTGGCTAGGGCTTAGAAGCATTATCCAGGTACCAAGAGTCCCCAACTCCCCGCTCTCCCCGGCAGCTGCTAACACGGCACAGTGCCTGCGGCTATGTGTCCAGTCTATAGCCCACAAAAGTGGGTCACAAAACCAGGTCCTGAGCTGCCCAATATAAAACACCTCTCCACAACAGGTGGGCAGCTCCCAGAACACAGCCCACAAGACCTCTGGAGAGAAAGGTTCCTGATTGGGAAATAGAAAGGGAGGGGGTGAGTGAGATACAGTTTAGAGACTACATTAGAGACCAAGAATTGTGAGGTCTACAGGCAATATAAGAAGGTAAGACCAGGCACCCACATCACACAAGCAGGGCCCCAAAGGAGATCCCTAGACCAATCCTCCAACCCTAATAACCTCCACCATCCTGAGGGTAGAGATACCATCAAACAACAGACAACCCCACCTATTGGATGAGAAGGGAAGCTGGAAAGATACTGATCTCCAACAAAAATAATTCTTGTTATCTTCCTTCGAGAATTTTTTCTCTCTCTTCTACCATCATCATATCCAACATTTATGAAACCAAGTACTTTTCATAAATTAGGCTACTGAGGACTAGGATGTCTGAATAGTATATTACAGTGGTGTTGTATATTCATTTATCTCCTATTTTTACTTTTCTTAATATATATTTTTGTTTTATGTACTCTATTGTCTTCCCACTTACTTGTCTCCCCCAAATCACTTTCTCTCTCTTCTCCTTCTACTAATCAACTTCTTCACCCCCAGTTCTTTGTCCACCATCAGAAACTGTAGACCCTTTTGCAAACCTACTGCTCATATTGTAGTTAATAATTGAACTTACCGTTCAATATGATTCAAAACTATATATGTCCCAATAGCAGATATTTGGTTTAAGATTATATATTGTTTGATTTGGGATCTGTTCTCCCCCTTAAAGGAGAGTTATTAGAAATCTGCAGGGACACTATAAGCCTACAGAGTAAAAACTGTAACTCCTGGGATCTACACTTCTAGATGGGAAGACACAAACAACATAAAAAAACAAGGGAAGAAAGTGCCCCCAACAAACCAAGATATTACATCATTAGAATCCATGGCCAACATAACAGAAGAAATGACAGAGAAGGAGTTCAGGATGTACATAATTAAAATGTTCTGTGAATTATAAGAGAGCAAATATAGGCAGCAAAAGATCATTTTGATAAAGAGCTACATAAGCAAATACAGGAAGCAAAAGATTACTTCAATAAGGAGATAGAGGTTCTGAAAAAAAAAAAAAAAACAGAAATCCTTGAAATAAAAAAAACAAATCAAATTAAAATCTCAAAAGAAAGTATCACCAACAGATTAGATCACTTTAAGGACAGGACCTTAGACAATGAAGACAAAATATATAATCTTGAAAAGAGTATTGATCACACAGTGAAGACGGTAAGAAATCAAAAGCAGAATATTCAAGAATTATGGGATAACATAAAAAGACCAAATTTAAGAATTACTGGGATAGAGGAAGGCATAGAGTTCCAAACCAAAGGAATGAACAATCTATTCAATTAAATAACATGAGAAATTTTTCCAAACATGAAGACTGCATTGGAAAAATCAAATACAAGAGGCTTACAGGACACCAAAGGTACAAAATCACAACATATCCACACCAAGGCACATTATAATGAAAATGCCTAATATATAGGAGAAAATTTTAAAAGCCATAAGAGAAAGGAATCATATTACATTTAGGAGGAAACCAATTAGGATATACGCAGATTTTTCAACCCAGACCCTGAAAGCTAGAAGATACTGGAATAACATATACCAAGCTCTGAAAGAAAATGGATGCCAACCAAGAATCTTATATCCAGCAAAATTAAGCTTAATATTTGATGATGAGATAAAAACCTTCCATGATAAGCAATAGTTAAAAGAATTTACAACTAGGAAGCCTGCACTACAGAACATCCTTAGCAAAATATTCCATGAGGAGGAAACAAAAAACAACAATGAAAATCAGTAGAGGGAGGTATTATACTAAAGCAAAGAACAATCAAAGGAGAAATAAAGTTAAATTAAATACCAAAAATAAACAAATATGACCCAGAATACAAATCATGTCTCAATAATAACCCTGAATGTTAAAGGCCTAAACTCACCAATTAAAAGACATAGACTGACAGATTGTATTAAAAAAAAAAGACCCAACAATATGCTGCCTTCAAGAGACTTCATCTCATAGGAAAAAAAAACATCCACAGACCGAAGGTGAAAGGTTGGGGAAAAAACATACCACTCACATAGACTGCAGAAACAAGCAGGGGTTTCCGTCCTCATATCAAATAAAGTAGACTTCAAGCCAATGTTAATCAAAAGAGATAAAGAAGGACATTTCATACTGCTTAAGAAAACCATACATCAACAAGACATAACAATTATAAATATGTATGCCCCCAATAATGGAGCATCTACGTTCATCAAACAAATTCTTCTCAAGTTCAAACAGACCACAACACAATAATTATGGGTGACTTTAACACACCTCTTTCACCACTGGATAGATCTTCCAAACAAAAGCCAAACAAAGAAACTATAGAACTAAATAATAAAATCAATAACTTATAGACTTAACAGACATATATAGAATATATAGAATATTTAATCTATGTATAGAATATTTAATCTATCAATGAGTGAATACACTTTCTTCTCAGCAGCACATGGATCCTTCTCCAAAACAGACCATATATTATTCCACAAAGCAAATACTCTTAGAAAATACAAAAAAGTAGAGAGACTACCCTGTATTCTATCATATTATAATGGAATGAAATTTAGAAATCAATGATAAAATAAAAATTAGAAGCTGCTCCAACACCTGGAGACTAAATAATATGCTACTGAATGAGCAATGGGTTGCAAAAGACATGAAAGAGGAGATTAAAAAATTCTTAGAGGTAAATGAGAACATTGATACAACATATCAAAATCTCTGGGACATTATGAAGCCAGTAGAAAGAGGAAAGTTCATTGCATGAAGTTCATCCCTTAAAAGAAGAAAAAGTCAACAAATAAATGACCTAACATTACATCTCAAGGCCCCAGAAAAAGAAGAACAAATCAGCAGCAAAAGCAGACGACAGGAAATAATTGAAATCAATGAAGTTGAAACAAACAAACAAACAAAAAATTGAAAAAAAAAAACTGACAAAACAAAAAGCTGGTTCTTTGAAAAAATAAATAAAATTGATAAACCCTTAGCTATGCTAATAAAGAGGAGAGAGAAAACTCAGATTACTAACATACTTGATGAAAAAGGAAATATCACAACAGACATTACAGAAATACAAAAGATAATTAGAAA